CCTTCTATCTCTTGGGTTTCTTTCTCAGTCCATGACTGAGATTGATTATTCAAATCCTCTTAATAAGGGGATCTGTTTGATCTGTGGGTCCTCAAATTCTGCCTCAGGAGAGCCCTTCGGTCACCAAGCCTGCCTCCCAGGCCAGGGGCTGGAGCCAACACAGAGAGCCATTGGTCGATGGGTTCTTCTAGGATGGACTCTGCTGCTGCAGGGGCTCCTCCCCCTTCTACCCCCCCGCCCCGGCCTCATGGGGCCCATCCTCTGCCCGGAGACCCCACACAGGCAGTGGGCAGCATGCGGACCCCGGCCTGCCTCCTGCAGATGGCCCTCCACGGCTGTGCAGCTCTGGACAAGACACCTGCCCTCTCTGCGCACTGCATCGTTGTACCCTGCGGTCCAGCCCCTGACCGGGAGCAGCTCACAGCTGAGGGGGAGAAATAGATCCTGGGGTTAGAAGATGCTGGGCTTACTCTTGAGCTCTGCCATCCGCTTGTGCAGAAGCCCAGGTTCACCGAGCCCCTTGGGTGCCACACTCTGCTCTGGAGCCCTGTGCGCAGCCCTCAATGCCCAGCAGCCTCTGGGGTGCGGTCTGACCCCTCCCCCCTTGACAGAGGAGGATGTCAGGGCTCAGGACACAGCTGCTGAACCTGGCATGCCAAGGTGGCATCACCCCACGCTGCCCACCTTGTGCCCAGGAGACCTGGGTAGCACTGGGATTGCCACAGAAATTTCTTTTTTTTTTTAAAATTAATTAATTAAAAATTTTTTAAAAAATTTTTTTATTGCTTAAAGTATTACAAAGAGTATTACATAGGGCCACAGAAATTTCTATGTTGTTTCTTTCACACTTAATTTTAAAGTATGGCCAATAGTTACAAATTCATTTTGAAAATCACTCTGAAGACTTTACATTCTTTTTTTTCAAAAAATACGTTTTTATTGAATTTTATAGAGAGAGGAAGGAAGAGGGAGAGAGAGATACAAACATCGAAGAGAGAGGAACATCGATCAGCTGCCTCCTGCACAGCCCCCACTAAGGATCGAGCCCACAACCCGGGGTTGTGCCCCGACTGGGAATCGAACCAGTGACCTCTGGTTCCACACCAGCTGGTCAAGACTTTACATTCTCTGTTAAAAACTGCTTAAGTAGCCCTGGCTGGCGTGGTTCAGTGGTTAGAGCATCGGCCTGCGCACTGGAGCGTCTTGGGTTGGATTCCCAGTCAAGAGTATGTACCTGGGTTGCAG